GAACTCTGGTGATCTAGTCCTTAGATTTTGCTGCCAACAAAAGACGGCACCTCTCTGGATGCTGAAAGCCACCAATGACTTCATAGGACAAAGATGTACAATCCCCTCCCACACAACTGACAGCCTCTGAAACCCAGCGGAGGGCCACCCAGAGGTTATTTAGGACTTGCATGCAATGAGTTTGAATTTTAAGTCCTTATATGGGATTGAACATGTATTGCTCAATGTTATAAGCCAAATAACACCCAACAAAAAGGCATTTCATCATGAGTGAGCAAGTTAACTGATAAGACTGATCATCATCTCCTCTATCTTGTTAGTTTTAAGGTTTAACCATTGTTGTGGTTGTTTTTTTTAAGTGCCATGTAGACAACTAATAGCTATCCTATGAACAAAAGACCTGAACAACTGTATAACTTTCATCATTTCTCCAAGTTTATAAGGTTTCTGGAGGCAAGCTATTTCGGAGGTGGATGCCACGCCTGCTTCCAAGCTTGTTTAATCGGGGAGCTCCACCAAACACTCACTGTCCACCATGGGTAACCAGATCACACTCGACACATCAGTGTTCAGCATCACAGCAACCATGAATTACCTCTGTAGAGCAAATGGACAGACCACTGCTATGCCACTTAGAAGAATGTTTGACCAAAAACAATTAAAACCAGGCCTGAGGCCGCAGATTAAAACCACCCATCTTTGACTTGGTAGCATAAATTTCTATCCACCAGGCCCACAGAGCTCTCTATGTTGCTGTTGTCACTGTTAAGTGCCATGATGAGTCGTAGATGATAGTAGGCTAATTATTTTGCATTTCTATTTATATGAAGACTGTTAGCAATTGCTCTATTACATTTTATGCTTATGTATAAGCTTAAAAATCTAATTAAGAGTATCCTAATAGGTTTAACCCATCAGATCTTTGGTCAATTTTTCAGTGATTTCCCCTCTTAGTATACATTGTAAAGATTTGAAAAACACACATTTTGTAAATACAAAATGACGACATTCTCAAGTTTCTGAATAATAAAAAAAATTTCTTTTGATTTTTTTTTAAGTGGAGAACATGTGATCAAACCCTATGAAAAAGAGCAGCAACACAAACTGGAAAACCAACCAACTAACTAGAGAAGAGCTACCCTCTCAAAGCAGAGTCTACCTTAAAGACTGATGGGGAAAAAAAAAAAGACTGATGGCGTATATGTGGTAAGACTTAAAATGAGGAGAAACATCTGTCGACATCTGTTAATAACTGGTATGTGGAAAATAGGACATGAATCTAGAAACACTGAAAGTTGTCAAAAATAAACAGAATACATAAAGATGACATTCTGGGCATTAATGAGCTTAAATGGACTTGTTTTGGTCATTTTGGATTAGAGAATCTGCCAAGAAGACAAACTGAAGATAAATAGTGTCAAAAAGAATATTTCAAGATCTGTCTTGAAGTTGAATGGAGTCATTGATGAGATAATATCATACAAGGAAGAGCTGTTACTATAACAATATATGTACTAACTACTAAAACCAAAGGTGAAGAAATTGAGGATTTCTACAAATTTATGCAATCTGAAATTAATGAAACATGCAGTCAAGATGTATTAATAATAACTGATGATGGAAAAAGTTAAAAATAAATAAGGATTGGTAATGATTAAAAAAAAAAAAGGCTCCCTGTACGATATAGTTACACTGCAGGGAAGGCCAGCATGAAAGCTGATCACATGTGTAATATACTAGAGAACATAAAATAATGTTAGTCTAATAATGATGAAGAAAGTTGCTATTATGCTTCACAGGTAATTGGTATAAATAACGGGCTTCATAAATTATTGTAATTTATTTTACACAGTTGAGCAACTGCTTTCTTTTTCCCTTTAAAATTTCTGGTTCCCAAGTATCTAAAATTAGTGACCTCAAGTCTACCCTAATACTCAAGGACTTCTAATTCACACATCATTGCTGTATTATGTCAGATGAACCTATGACATATAGAACTGATGCTTGAATATTTAGAATCACTTTGAAGTAAGAGTTCTCTAGAAAATACCTCCATTCGTTCAATCTACATCTTGAGCATGTTGTTGTTGTTGTTATGTGCCATCCAGTCACTTGTGACTCATAGCGCCCTTATGTACAGGAGCCCTAAACCCCACTCTATCCTGTGCCAACCTGACACACCTATCTCCATTGCCCCAGTGACTGAATCAATCCATCTTACCAAGGGTCTTCCTTTCCTGTGCTGTCCCTCCACCCTCTCAAGCATAATATCCTTCTCCCAGAATTGATCCATTCTTGTAACATGTCCAAAGTATGTCAGATGAAACTAGGAATAGCCTGGTTTCACCACCTCCAGGATGAACCTGTTTGTTCTACTAGCAGTCCATGGTATATTCAACACTGGTCTCCAGTGCCACAGCTCAAAGGCATACATTTTCTTTCTATCATCCCTAATCATTATCCAGCTCTCTGATGCATAGCAAGTAATTGTGAAGACTATGGCCTGGATCAGGCACACCTTAGTCTCCAGAATGACCTCATTGCTTGAGATAATATGATAGAATTATTCACATTCAGTGATTTATTCACTGCAAATAACTTTAATAAGAAACACAAACACAGGCTATATACATGGATTTTACCTGATGGTATGTACAGGAATCAATCTGTGGGGAAAAAATTGCTGGAGAAGCTCAGTATCAGCTGTGAAAACTCAGCTAGGTGTTGATTGTGGAACAGACCACCAACTACTCATATGCAAGTTCAAGCTGACCTTGAAGAAAATTAAATCCACAGGAACCAGAATTTGACCTTAAGGCTTTCCCACTCGAATTTCAAAACAATCTCAGGAACAAGTTTGAGGCCATGAACACCAATGAGTGAAGACCAAATGAGCTGTGGGAGGATATCAAGAATATCATCCCTGAAGAATGCAAAAGGTCATCACAAAGGCAGAAGAGTAAGACCAAAATGGATGTTAGATGAGACTGCAGATTGCCTTAGAGTGCCAAGAAGCCAAAGCGAAAGGAAGAAACCAAGAAATTAAGAAACTGAACAGAAGATTTCAAAGGGCAGCTCAAGAAAACAAAGCAAACTATAATAATGAAATGTGCAAAGAGCTGGAGTAAAAAAATCAAAAGAGCCGAACTCACTCAGCATTCCTTAAGCTGAAGGAATTGAAAAATAAATTCAAGCCATGAGTGGAATACTTAAGGATGCTTTGGGCAGAATATTAAATGATCCAGGAAGCAGTAAAAGAAGATGGAAAGTGTAGACAGAGTCATTGTACCAAAAGGAATTGGTGAATACAGAAGAATTTAATGAAACAACATATGAGCAAGAGCCTATAGTGATGAAGGAAGGAGTTCAAGCTGCTCAGAAGAACTGGCAAAAAAATAAGGCCCCAGGAATTGATGGTATACCAACTGACATATTTCAACTAACAGATGCTGCCCTAGATGTGCTCACCAAGTTGTGTAAAGAAATCTGAAGGACAACCACCTGGCCAACTGACTGGAAGAGATCTGTATTTGTTCCCATTCCAAAGAAAGGTGACCAACAAGAGTGTGGGAAAACTATCAAACAATATCATTAATATCACATACAAGCAATATTCTGCTGAAAATTATCCAAAAGTGACTGGAGCAACACATCAACAGAGAACTGCCAGAGTGCAGGCTGGATTTAGAAGAGGCCATGTTACTAGGGATATTATAGCTAATGTTAGATGGATCTTGTCTGAAAGCAGAGAATACCAGAGGAATGGCTATCTGTTTCACTGACTATGCAAAGGCATTTGACTGTGTGGAAAACAACAAACAAACAAAAAAAAAGAATGGGAGTCTCAGAACAATAGTGCATATGCAAAACCTACACTTCAGCCAGGAGGCAGTCATCAGAACAGAGCAAAGAGACACTGCATGGTTCATACTCTTGAGCATAGACAGTGCTTCATCTGGTGTTTTAGATAAAAATTCTGTGTGAGAGCTAACAGTCCAGTGCCATCTTTCCCTAATAGTCCTGTTCCAAGCAATGTAATTCTAACTTCCATGTAGTCCATAAAACAGTTAAAATTAAAATGTTTATGTTTAAAACATTTCTCTTTAACTTGAATCCAACTAGATTAAGAACACACATCTATGCTTTCTTTGAGAGTTAGGCTGTTTTCCTTGTTTAAAATTAACTTGCAACACCTCATTCTCCAAAGGATTGCACACAGGAGCACTTCCCAAGCAAGGAAACACTGGTGTATTTCCTCCCAGGACTTCAGTCACTGGGACAAAAGAGGCAAAATATTACTGAAGAAAAATATATGACAAACCAAGCTACACACAAAACTACTACGCTGTGCAATGAAAATCTGCAGAAAAAAGTTGAGCTTGGAATAAGTCTGAGAAACAATCACGAAAGAGAAAGTAAAGGCTAAGGCAGTGGTCTGTTGCTGGGGTGTGTGTTAAGAGAGTGTACACCCAGAGAATGTGAGAACACTAAGCCGTGTCCGAGAGCGTGGGTACAGATAAATGCGACACCAGGGTGAACATGAGTGAGCGAGCTGGATACAGTACTGGCCATTCCACGTGTGTCTCTTGACAGCTGGTCCAGTGGATGAATGAGATGACACTGGACTGTTTGCTCTCACATACAATTTTTATCTAAAACATTAATTTAAGCACTGTCTATGCCAGACGTGCAAGCTGGGTTTAGAAGAGGCCACTTTTATAAGACACACAAAGGCAGGCTGTATGCATGGATTTCACCTGATGGTATGCATAGGAATCCACTCCATGGAGAACACTTATCTACGTGGACAGTGTATTTCTGAGCCATGTGTTTCTAGTCGGTGGGAGGGCCTGACAGTTTGTATGTTGTACTGAAAAGAGCTGTGTTAACAATGATAATACTCCTAATAATAACACTCCTAAGAGAACAGGAACATGAGCGTGGGATACATTAGAGACTTAATGTCTGCCTTTGATTCCGGAAGACAGACCACGTGATACACAGAAGCCGCCAAGGACGTGGGCTGCCAGCAGGGGCCCAGGCCCGAGCTCAGACTCTGCAGAGACTGTCGACTTATTACTCATTTAGGCAAAAAAGGGCCCCAAGCCCAAGTCTCAGCGGGCACTAAGGAAGGCCCCAGGCCTGTACCGGGGAGTCAATGTCTCCTCTGAGCGGTATCCTTCGCTCACGTTCCAGCCTTGTGTCCCACCTGATAACGCCGCTCCAGATGCCTCCTTTTCAGGCTCTGATGGCGCCCCGGAACCCAGAAGCCGTGCCCAGGCACGTCGAGGACAGGAGCCCTGCCTCGCTTCTGCCCCAGGACTGGAGTCCTGTCGCTGATCTCCAGCCTGAAGACTGGCAGGGCAGCCACGAACACGCTCCCCAGTTCTCAGGCCACCGGGCTTCCCGCGCCCGCAACAAGGACTCTCGCTCACGATTGGTTGGTGCCTCCCGCCCTCTGCCAATTGGTGGGACGGATCGCTGTCCCTGCAGAAAGCAGCCTGGGCTGTGGCACAACGCGCTCACCACTGGCTCTCCCTCCTGCACCCGTGATGAAATAGAAAATCCAGAGGGAATAAATATATTATTGTTAGGTACAGTGGAGTTGAATACCAATCAAATACCAATCATACTGACCCTATAAACAGCCGACCTGAACCCTGCCCTATCCTGGGTCATCCTCACCATCTCCGACACACTAGGGCCCATTGCTAAAGTCCTTGTCTCAATCAATCCATCTCGTAGGGGGTTTTCCTCTCCATCGCTAAGCCTCCCTCTATCTTTCCAAGCATGTTATCCCTCTCTAAAGAATACCCTCACCTAGCTACACGTCTAAAGTATAAAAGACGAAACTTTGCCATCTTTGCCTCCAACACTCTGGCTGCACTTTTTCCAAGACATATCTGTTCTTCAGGCCATCCATGGGATATTCAATACTCTTATCCAAAATCACAACTCAAAGACATCCATTATTCTGTTACCTTTATTCATGGTCTCTAATGCACAGCAGGTGATTTGAGAAAACCATGGTCTGAAGCACGACACCTTCGTTTTCAAAATGACATCATTGTTGTTCTGCATTTGGAGAGGTCCCTGGTAGCGGACTTGTACACTCATGATTTACTGACTGCTAATTCCACGGGCGTTGATAGTTGATCCAAGTAAAATGAAATCCTTGACAGTTTCAATTCTTTCTCTATCATAATGTTGACTGTTGTAACTGCTGTGAGGGCCTTTGTTTTCTTGATGTTGAGATGCATCCCATACCACAGACTGTAGTCCTTGATCTTCTGCAGCAAACTTTCCATATCATCTTCACTTTGAACAAGCAAAGCTGTCTCATCTGCATAATGCAAGTTGTTGATAAGTCTTCCTCAGATGCTGACACCATATTCTCTTCATAGAGTCTGGATTCACGAATTATTTGCTCATCATATAGACTGAATATTTTTGGAGAAAGGATAAAAAACAAACAAGCAAATAAGGGGAGCAGATTTCTATTCAAAAAATCACTAACCTAAATAAACAATGTTAATATGAAGCTAGTGTTATGTTTTCCTCGTTTGGCTTGCAATCACACAAGTCTAGGAAATACAGCATTAGAAATGCATTAAATTCAATTTTTCATAAATTAAATTTCATAGTTCGCCTCACCCATAATAATAGTACAACACGACCTAAAGCAGCTGAAATGGAGATTTTTCGGTATCACATGATTCCAACAGTAAGTGCCTTCAATTAATACATACAGCTTATTTTTCAAAACCAATCAAAGCTACTTTCAGAGCAGTATGTCTGCATATTAGGTAGTAACAGAAAGGCAGACTATGTGATACACAGGGACTGTGATACAAGTGGTGCCAATAAAATCCCATTAAATTGAAAAATTAATACCTTTGGAAACATTCTTTGTCCTCCAAGAACATATAAAATTATTTCTTCCCTATTGAAGTATTTTTCTGGATTCTTGGACCCTATTCCATTAAAAAAATTCCTTTTAGAAAGTCAGTGAGTGCCACTATCATGTACAGAATAAAATATGTTTACCTTTAGCCTTATAAATATTTCTGCCAAAGGTTCCTGAAAAATCCACATTTATGATTATTTTATTTAATAGGATTCAAAGCTGAAAAATTATTTTGGTTTACTTATCTACAAAATTTGCTCATAATACCTCCAAAGCAACCATGTTTTAAATCACTTTGTTGAGTAGTGTTATTAATGCTGTTAAAGGCTTACTACTTATAAGGTACTGGTCTAAGCAATTTACATGTATAATTCATTTTACAAGAATTCGCAAAGCAACTTTACACAGCAGGTTACTATTATCACTTCTACTTTACAGATGAGGAAATGAAGGTACCAAGAGCTAAACAATTTGCCCAACTAATTAAGGACAGACCCAAAGCAATCTGACTGCTAGACCTAAACTTTTTTCAACCTATATTTTTTTTAAATTTTATTATTTTGTGTGCGTGTACCATCAAATCAGATCTGACTGGTACAGAAGGAGACTGTCCCTCCTTTTCCAGCAGAGCATCTGGTGGATTTGAACTGTGCGTCTCTGGGATTGAAGTGCAGCTTCTTGGCACTAAGCCACCAGAGCTCCCCTCAACCTATATTTTTTTATGATAAATTTTATTGTGATTGGCTCATCAATGAAGTACAAAACTATTTCAGTGTTTAAGTGTCAATATGACAGCTTTATAGAAATTATCAATTCATTTCAAGCATATACATAATAATAATTGCCAGGTTTGCTGTTATATATAATCTGTGGGCAAATTTGGCATGTTGAAATAATCCATTCTATTCATTACATGGTTTAGCTAAGCAGGTACTAAAGCAAATATCAGCATTTTTGCCACCACTGTCTTATTAGGCTACCATTTATGCCAGTGAATCTTGAAAACAATTTTTTAATACACGTATGTTTTTAATTACAAGTATGTATTTTAATACAAGTATATTTTTAATTACAAGTATGTATGATTTAAAAATATTCTATCAATATTATTTAATGGTTGCAAAATATGCTATTAAAGTTACATAAAGTCACTTATGTCTTTCGTGAAGTTTGGCTAGCTAAGAGACTCAGCAACTATGGTGCATACATCCAATAGAATATTATGCAGCAGTGAATAACAATGAGCTCATAAAACATTACACAACATAGGTAAGTCTGAAATATCTCTGTCACAAAAGAACAAATACTACATAATGATGCTATTATAAAATGGGACTGACAAGAGGGATTGGGGAGAGTATAGGAATAGAGTACACAGAAAATAAATATTTCATTGGAACAGGTGAAGGGAAGAACTGTCTGAAAGGAATTATGATTAGGCATTATATGTATGACAACAATCTGGAACAAAGGTGCATTGCAAAGTGGACTCAGGGAGGTGGAAAGAAGAAAATATGCAACAAAGAATGATTATATTTATGGAGAGAAAGAGAGAGGGAGAGAGGGAGGGAGGGAGAGCGAGAGGGAGAGAGGGAGAGAGGAAGAGAGTGCAAGCGAGGCCTAAGGACAAGGCCTTATGGTTATGACACAATGAAAGAAAACATACTACATTCTGGGACTTGCCACCTTATTAGAAATGAGTGATGTTGTGTGCTTGAGGAAAGAGGCAGAAGGGAGACACTAGTCAGAGCCAGTACATCTCATACTGGTGAGGTCCAACACTCCCAAAATCCAAGAGTGTTGTATGTAGTCCAAAAGTAGTGTATTTGTATTCAGCAGATGACCAAACAGTTCAGTTCAAACCACCTAACTTCTCAATAGGGGAAAAAAACCAAAACAACAAACCTCTGGTGGTTTACTTCTGTAAAGATGAACAAAAACCAAAATAAAATACTACTTCCCCCCCAAAAAACCCACAAAACTCACACTACTAGGGGTTCTACTACTGCTAAAAGGCAGAAGATAAAGAACAAGCACATATTCACATATTAAAAGAGGTAACAGATTAGGATGAAAACCAGAAATATCTCAAACACATAGTCATTTATTCGTGGTATATTTAGTTGCTTGGTTTCTAGACTGAAGATTTAAAGAATTTTAACTCTGCCTAGTATATAAAGCAATATATCATAAAGACCTACCACACACTACCCTTGTGTAACTAAAAACCTAATTTTCCCTGCATTTTTCAGGAAGATGGTGAATTCATTTAACTCTTAAGCAGCTACTTACTATATACTGAAGTCATTTCAAGGCTCCATGGGGCTAAACAAGAGATAAATGAGATATCAGCTCATAGCTCAAGAAATTGTTATGTTTTATGAAGTTAGTATAAGACATAACAAACATAAAATCATGTAAACTAATATATAATCAAAACTCAAAGTGCCTAATAAAAACTAGAAGTGTTACAAGTGATGATAGAAAGGAGAAATGAATGTGAATCAAAGATGATTAAAACAAAGTGGAACCAGAATTTAATAAGTGACTAGAATTTGGAGAGAGAGGGGGAAAGGAGCAGAGTCTATAGGTAGATGGGGGGGGGGCGCAATAAAAAGAGCAAATTGACTAGAACTCAGCCACATTTTTCTGGGAAAACAGAGAAAGGTCAGATTTGATAAATCACTGCTAGTCCCATAAGACCTTGTGAGGAAACTGTTAAGTGCTTAATTGTCAACCAAGAAAAAAGCTTGCCAGTTCAACCCACCCAGCAGTTAGTTCCCCAGGAGAAAGATCTGGGGTGAAGGATTACTCCTGTAAAGATTATAGCAAAGACAATCCTATGGGGCAGTTCAATGAGTCACTCACTATTGAGTTAAAATAGACTTCGTATTATAGACAAACAAAATAGATTGACCAACATCACTCTCACAATGCTTACAAGAATCTTGACCTTGATAGCACCAGTAAACACAACTACAGCCATCATATCAGAGCATAAACAAAAAGAACAAAACATCTGCCCTATGTTTTTATTTCCTTTTCTATTTTCATAAATTAGGGCAATAATCTAATGCAAATTTTACTTAATGGCCTGGGTCAGGCTCCGTTTATCTCCTATTTCCTACCATAAATTCACATAGAAACTCAATCCCAACAACATTAACTTCTGATTCA